ATAGAATTTCGCCCCCCGCATTGGTACTAACATGATCAAATGAATGTCCGTCTTCCAAGATACAACGCTTCTTTCAAAATTAATATAGAACACTATTAATTTTATCGGATGAACCAATGCTTGATTGTACTCTTCTAAGATGGAAGATATCGAAAAATAAATATCGCACGCGAAACTCAAAATAAAATGGAAATTATTTTAACAGAATTTAGAGAAAGAAAGAATTAGTAATTAATTATTATGAATTGATTTGGAGTGAGAAAAAAAAGGAATTAGAAGGGTTCTATTTATAGATTTGAATGTGTCTCTTCGACTAGTCTTCCAACCGTTAGATGACACCATTTCAAAATTCATGGTCTATATCACAACTTATCAAAAGATCACACCCATTCGAAACAACTCTTTGGCATCATTTGCATTTGAAGAGTCGTGCCCAATCGAAGCACCTATTGGAGACTTTTCCAATTCTCACATTTTAATTCTTATATTACCCTAAAATTCCAACATAGCACTCACAGATGAAAGACAAGGATGGATAAAGAGCCTAGTGATTAGGTTATCATCAAATTAGACCATTTCACTCTCCTCTTCAATGGGCCAAGACTAATAGGCCCAAATTAACCAAAAGGCACCCCAACTTATCAAGATAAATGGACTACCAACAAACAAAGGCCAAGGATAATTAAACTTGAACCATCCACAAGTGTCGGTTGTTTTCGGGTTAAGCTAAGTCTATGGTGTCAATATATTATTCGACAACGTATGATAGAAGGTAAATCTCTTCAGGATTACATAGCTATTTTTAAAGAAATCATCGTTGATTTAGAAATCTTAGAGGTCAAATATGATGAAAAAGATTTTGGATTGATTTTGTTGTATTCATTACCCGCCTCATATATGTTTTTTAGAGACACGATACTATATAATCGTGATACTTTTACCATCGAATAATTCTACGATACTCTATATTTAAAGGAGAAAATGAAACATCTTGTAGTATTTGGGGATCATGGAGATAGTTTCATTGTTCATGGTGGTCGTTCGAGGGGGCAAGTCAAAATCTAATTTCAAATTTTGTAATTATTGAAAAGGGCAATTAGTAAACAATTATTATAAGTTGTAGATTAAATCAAAGTCAACTGTAAATCAACCATCAGAAACTTCAGGAAAAGCAAGTATTACAGAAAACCCTAGCAGTGATGGAGAACTTCTACTTATATCTGACTACAATTCCAAATATGATGAGGCTTGAATTTTTTATATAGCTTGATTTTTCTTATTACTCCTAATCGAGATTTGTTTCCAACATATGAAGAAGTTCAAAAGGTGTTGTTCTGACCGGCAATAACACAGCTTGTCGGATAGTTGATATTGGTCGGGTCATAATAAATATGTTTAATAGGACGGTTAGAACACTTGATGCAATGAAATACGTTTTGGATCTAAAAAAAACCATAAGGATATAGGTACATTGTTGAAAGTGAAGTTCTGAAAGTTATCATAAAATCCCATTTATACAATTTGTAGGGTAATACAGAATCTTCGAATAATCGGTATAGTTTAAGAACTCAGGTGGATTTAGAGTTAGCTTTTGTACCATTGGAATCTAATTTGGGGAATTCTTATAAGAATACATCTCAGTTGAGTTTTGAAGATATGGGTAAATCTGTCTTGCTACAATCATCGAAGGTGTCATCGTATTCAATTGCTAGAAATATACTCATTTTTACCATAAGATTCCACATATGTACAATTCTTTTGATTTTGTTAATTTTTTGAATGCGGTTAAGAGTGTTGATTATAGCTAAGATCCTTCTTTTGATACATCCAATTGTGATTATGTTACAGACTTGTTTTAGCCTTATTTGGTGGTAATTAAATTATTTTTGCCCCTGGTTGTAGTGATGGAGAATATTTCTAGTTGGAAATTTTTTATGGAAAAATTCGTTTGTGTTTTTCATTGAAGATGTCAAATTTATTTCTTACGGTGGAATTCGTCTCCAGGTGGATAATTTTTGAAATTTTGTTGATTACTGTGGAATTCGTGTCAAAAGTGGAGATTGTTAGAATTTAGGTATGACCCGAATTTCTGGTTGAAAGTAATTGAGAGTTCTAATTAAAGTGCACGTTCAGAAAAATTCTATTTGGAATGCTATTGTGAAATTCTTTTCAATTTATTTGGTGAATTCTAATTGAAATTTTACTTGAAAGTCCATTGGGAGTAAGACGTTGTGTTGGACTTGAAGAGGACATTGTGATGAAATTCTACTTGGAAGTCCATTTTGCCCCTGCACGATTTTTTTTTTTTTTTTTTTTATATTCCATTTTGGACTATGTTTCTTGCATTCTACTTCAACTACAACTCTACTATGAGGGATAGACGTTCTCTATTTGTTCCATGTATATAATTGACTCTTCATTATGATTTAGTGAGAAGCTATAAACATTGTAAACTTATAATATTTGTATTATTTCTCCATATTAAAATAAAATCTCCATTTGACCCTATGAAAATTCACAAGTGCATGAAATAGTGATCAGGTAATATAATGATGAATAGAGTTTCGAAACCAAGAGAACTATAAGTTTGACTAAGTTAAAATTAATTGCAACTTTAATTGAATAGCAAACAAATTGTTGTGATTTTTCTATACTAATCCCTAAATTATCAATTAAACTAGTGAAAGCAAGTAAATGTGTTTTTTCAAATCTGTGAGATACATTGTTAAAATGTCGAATCCCCCTTGTTATTCCATTTTTATTGTAACAATTAAAGTGACAATTTGAAATCATTAATGCTAGTCAATGTTCTTAATTTAATTGAAAGCATATCGCGATAGCGAACAAATCTATTCCCCCTCATATGACCCTTCTATCTCTTCATGAAAGATACCAATATGATAAATGTATTAACAATTACTAGAACACCTATTAAAATTTTATAAAGTATAGATGTATATCTCTATCTTCTATCGAACTTTACAATATCTATTATATTGTGCTTACACCCTATTTTCTCTCTTGATAACAATAAAATCTACTAACAATTCAATTGGTGATCAAGTAATTAAAAAAAAAAGATAAAAATGATAATAATCATCCACAAATCAAACCAATTAAATGAAAATAATTAATTAAAAACTAAAAATATCATAATAATGGTTGATTTCATCCTAACAATGTATAAAACTAGTTTAGCATATCAAAATAACAAGAAATCATATTTAAGTGGAAAGACATAACCCGAATTTTGATAAATTGAGAAAATGAAGATGAATATTGAATCTCTTCAATAGTTTCTCGATAAATCTCTACTTGCGTCTTCTCTTCTTTGCCCAAAAAATAAGTTTAAATCTTCACTTGATTGAATTCTTACAAGTCTCCTTCAATTCTCTCACAAGAACTATGAATTTTCTTGATTTGATGATAATAATTGATAAATATTGGAGAATAATATGTATATAAGAGGTGTCTAATATGTATTCTAATGTTAGGTATTTTTAGGAGTAGAAAATTAGCTGAAAATCAAGTCCAAATTGATTTTCAAAAGAGTTTCAATCGAATGAGGAAAGTTGCATTCGCAGCATGTTTTTGTCTCTACATAGTAGTCAATATTTGTATTATAACTATATTTTCCGATCGATTGAGGCGATTCAAAATGTATTGGAAATCTATAACTTTGATAGAAATATAAAATTTTCAATTCAGACGTTTACTATATTAAAAATGTGTCTCAATTTTTGACTAAAAATATGGAATATAACTTGTGATGTTGGAAATTGATTTATGATAACATTTTGATCATATTTCATTCTTTTTTTACTTCTTATTCCATCCAATTATCTCATAACAATCTTCAAAATATTGTCTTGTGGTCCGAATCAACTATTGAATACACTACACCAAAAAACACATTTTGCAACAGTCAAAAACGTTGCAGTAGACCTTTTGTAGCGTTTTAGCGCGTATTGCGGAGATCGGTATTGCTGTTGAGGAAAGACTTTTTGCAAGATTTTTTAAACGTTGCGGTAGACCATTTTGCAACGTTTTTTCAATGTTGCCGTAGACCTTTTTTTTTACAATTATATATGGTAATTGACCAAGAAAATTGAAAATGGCACTTTGTGAACAAAATTTTGGAATTGCATAAAAATTGATAATTTCATTACAATTTTTTGAATCAATACAACATTAGAATGTGATATAATACAACATTGAATCAATACAACATTTGGATTTCCTGAGCATAACTGATAAATTTTGGTCTTTTTACTACTTCAACTTGCCAAAATATATAAAACATGGAAACTCTAAATAGATAACTAGAACAATATTTATTTTGATTGACTAGAGAAATCATAAAGCCCCTATCTGATCAACAAAAGAAAACAATAAGAAGTTTCACGGTATCTGGCTATGAATCTTTTCCAATTCGTTGAAGTAAAACAACTTTGAACTCGGAAAATCACCCCAGATTAGCCTTTCTGGCTCAACGTCTGAAACTGAGCAGCTTAATAGATACAAACCACTCCTTGAAGGAAGAAGATCATGCATGGGAGAAAATTTCTCATACGATTGAAGAATTAAAAACTCCCCCATTGGAGCATATAATGCTTCTGTTGATGAGATAGCATGAATTAATATTTAAATTCATAAATTTTTGCCAAAAATGTACGACAATCTGAGAACAGAATTCAAACATTACCTGGTTATTAAGACATGGAAGATTGCAGATGTTTCCATTTACAGTCTTGAAAAACTCTGCTACATGATCAGGATAATTGCAAGAGAAAGCTTGGGGAACAATGTCTTTGTGCATTGTTATTGCTTGGACATGATTTCGAGGCAATCCGAGGTCCAATAGGAGACGATCTCCTCTACACATATGGTGCACCGAAAGTTATAGTAGGAAGTAATGAAGAAACGGGTGCTCCAACCCTTATTAGCAACATGAGATTTACAAGTACTGATAAACTACCACCAAGAGAGTGTTCCGTAAATCAAAATTTGGCACGATCTCCATGAGATTTTAGGCCCTGCTCGTAGGTCCCCTTTGCAGCCTCATATATACCTCTGTGCACGAGCACATCCAGTCCCTAAAGGAAGAAAACATATCAGTCCCTTTGTTATGACAGTCTCCAAACGAGTTTTGTATAAAACATTGGAAAAATGATTTTCATGAATGCATCCAAGAACCCAACTCAACAACGATTCAATGAAGTTAATCCGAGAAATGGTTCACAAGAATGAAGTATTATTCATAGAATTACCTCAAACTTAACAGGCTCAAAGAGTAGATTGGCCTGCCATGATGCCAGCGACTCAGATCCCTATAAGCAATAAAACGGTATAAACATTTAGTAATAGAATAGCTTTATGTCCATTAATCTGAATCGACTGTCCATTTATGATAAAACAAACTTTGCCAAAAAGCACAAGCAGCTATAACCTCTTATAGAAAAAGAGTCTAGTCATATTACCTGAATGACAAAGAATCTCGTCGCACTCTGATCATCATTGCAAGCAAACCATTCACAAGGTGAGGACTTGGCAGAGTTTAAATCATCTGCAACAGCCTGCTTTACTTCTCCCTTCGCAGCAACCACTGCTGTCACTGAGTCAATGGTAGCCATTAATGAAGCTACATCCATGTTCATCACGTTGACATTGTCCATGTCACATTTTGTTTCTTCAAGAAAATTTTCACTCTGTGTGGATTTGGATGTTCTAAAGCGAAGAATGCTCTTCATATGGCATGCAAATATGAAGCAACAGAAGAAGCAATTTCATAAGTAGCAGATGCATTGATATGCTTCCTATTAGGCTTCTCTACCCCCACTTTCTGCCATTACATTTCCTTCTGCAACCCGAGCCTCATCAGGTGTTTTCTCTTCTTTTTGTTGATCTTCAACCGAAGCCTTCTCTTTCTCAGCTTTCAATTCTTGTTCTTTCTTTTCTAATGACGAAGTTACAACTGCAGTCCATGAAATCTCAGACGGTTTTTAATTGTACCATGAAATGAAAATACAAACCGACAAGATATGTTCTAACAAATATAAAGCATCAACCAACATTTTGTGCATAGCTACTCAATTTAACACTATAATGCCCATTAATTAGGAATAAAACAATTGACCTAAGCAAGAAAGTTTCACAAAATCTCTGAAGAACAAAGCAAATTAGGAAGCCGGGAGACCCTAATTGCAATCAGATCAAGTTGTGTTCTTCATAATAACAATGTATCTAGCAATGGATCACGTCAGCAATCGATGGCAGAGGTGTATCAAGATTCACAAAAAGGCCAGAAGACCATGTTCTATCTAGTACTTTTACACCATCAAGTTGCCAACAAAGGTGTACAAATCAATTGGGTATCCAACGCTTGTAAACCTAAGGCTTCGGTTGAGAAAGACAAATCAATTGAGAAAGAATGAACTTAGGGGCAGCAAAATATTGATTAACGGTGATACCATACTTAATAGGAAAAACTTGATATAATAGCAACAGACTCAAAATAATACATAAATGTTAAGCAACATGTCCCAAATTGGGAAAGTAGTCAATCATCACTGGCATCCCTATTCTTCAGAAGCCAGGAACTATTGGGTTTTCCTATGTACTCCATCTGCCTGTACCCATAAATAAGTTGTACATGTCACAAAGTTTAAACCTAATCCCATAAACACTTCGACAATCTTCAAAACAACCATTATACGCATCAATCATGAAAACAAATTAAACAAAAAATCGCCAATGAGAATAAATGTAGAGAATTCAACGATTGAATTTCAAGTGCTAGATTAGCAGGAAGTGGCATTGAGTCTAGCACAAAAAAACCCTCCGAAATCAAGAATCGAACATTATAGAGGTCCATAGAGATCCCAAAGTCCTCGCATTCCCTTCGACTTCAGTCAAAGCCTTCTTCGAGCTTTCATCTCCTCATTTTGCTCCTCCAAATCGAAACCCAAAAGCACCCCAAAAAAGGGCCTGCCACCACCAGAAATCGCCCCTACTGGTGCTAAAATGGAGGTTGAGATTCTTGATTTTGAAGGTTTTGGGTTTGTAGTAAAAGAGAAGACTTTGGATTTTGGGAGGGCGAGGAGGTGGCGGTCATGGGCGGAGGGGAGGCAAAGTACGGGGGTGGAATGGTGGTGAGAAAGGAAATTGATTGGGTTCCGGATTGTATGGGTTTGAGAGAGAAGAAGCTATTTTCAATTAATGGAGTGGGAGGCGAGAATAAGGGTTGGGTTTGGGTTAATACGAGAGATTTAGCAATGTTTTTCAAATGTTCACATTTCGCAACATTTAAAAAACGTTGCAAAAGTGGACATTTCACAACGTTTTTTAAACATTGCAAATGAAAATCCTTCCTCAACACTCAATAAACGTTACAAAAAGTGGTCTATAGCAACATTTTTCTAAAACCGTTGCAAAAACTCATTTATATTAACCAATGGCAACATTCACTTACCAAAATGTTGCCAAAAGACCTTTTTAGCAACATTTATAAACGAATGTTGCATTTTTAGTGTTGCAAATGGCTATTTTTCTTGTAGAGAATTTGCAATTTGGTCTTCAAACTTTGGACTTCGCCATTTTTTCCTTTTTTCTTCCAATTCCTCGTTCAATCATTGAATTTTATTTATATAATATAAAATACAACAATTTAATATATATTTTGCTAAAAAAAAAGGACCAAATATCAATATTTTAGGTTCTAAACAAGTCTATAAATTATACCTATTAACGTCTCTACAAATTATATATATATATATATATATTGTCTTCTTGTGATTAATTACTGCATAATATGGCTTAATATCTTATTTTCTCCAACAATTCGGTATCATAATTATCCGATATTATCTCCGCTTTTTCACAGCACTTATCTATTCGGACTTTCGAACCAAAATCATCCAAACTTCGTCCATGAATCAAACTTTCAACCCACATTGAATTTGAGTCACAACATGACAATTACTCTTCATAAAACCATTGGAGAAAAAAATTATAATTTTTGTAGCTTATAACTCTTTGTTGGGAATGTATTTTAATCGATTCATCTAGACTCATGGTAGAGACTCGTGATAATAGGTCGAGAAACATTAACTTTTGAGCCTTATGCTTGCTTAGTGACTGTGTAGCTGTTAGCTTCATACCTTTTTTGAATTTCGGATTTGTGTTCTCGACATCAGTCAACACTTCCACTATGAGTTGAGAAAGTGTGCTTAAGAAAAAATTTCACAATTCTTTTGATTGTGCTAATTGTTAGGTTAATATTTGTATTTAGCAAGCATTACTTGTTGACTAGTGAAACATATGATGAAGAGTAATACAACTTTGATCTCTGTATAGAATGATATATTTCTGAAAAGGTTACAACCATCAATTTTATTGCTGTAAGAGATTGTAGAAGATGTATGTACTATGATGGTTAGAACTATTTTCTTCTATAACAATAGTTAAGCCTACGTTACATTTAATAGTGCCTAGAATGGTAAAAAAAAAATCTCTGATCCAAATTTTTTCCCATATATATATCATTTAATAAGTGATATATTCCATCTATTAATAAGTTATTTCTTAAATTGGAATGTCTTTTTTTATTCAACGTATGGTTTTCGATAAATGGGCTATAAAACACTGTTTTGGCTCATTTAGCCTATGTTTGGTTCCAATTAAAATCTGATTTTAATCTCAATTCAAACTGAACAACCAATTTTAGCCATGCATTTTATGAGATCTACAACTTTTTAACCACATATTTCGTTAACTTTTATCAAAATTTACTAAAAATCTTATTTTAATCTATTTCACCACTTGAGATAAATTGCTCCATAAATGATAAAATGTTAAATAATTGATTTTAAAATGCTATTTTAACTAATAGAAATTTTTAAATGTAATATATAAATCTATTTATTTATTATTTTTATTCTGATCAACCTCGATTTGACATTTTGACCATTAACTCTTTAACTTTTTCAGATCAATGATCAAACCAGTTTTCAAAATATTGTGTAAATGTTAGCAAGTCATTGTTTTGCTTAATTTCATGCACGTATCTTGATTTGGATAAATCGAAACTCTATCCTGTAAATTGCACCAGTAAGTTACTTTAATGTGAAATACCCTATTAGCTCGTTCTATCTCCATATTTTGCTGAGTATGATTCAACAATGGTTTGAGTCAATGATTAGAAACTTCCTTTTATTGATCTTGATTCATTAATATCAACTTAGAAATAATTGACATTTCAAATAAACATGTTAAAATATTCCTGAAGAACCTATTTTCCTCTTAACTTACTATCAAAGAGTATCTCAACTAGAAGATGAGGCATTTGAATTATTAGAGTTTAGCATGACTAATTCATAAACCTATCAATTATGTCTTCATACACTATGCTCTGTCGTTCTTTATTTATCAAAAATAAAATAAAATAAAAAGTAACATAAAGACACGAATTAGAAAAATGAAAAAGTTGTATTGTATCCCAACATAAACCCTACAAATCACCTTGACCAATATTTTCCTATTTTGCTTTGGGCTCTTGTAAACTCCATAGGCCACCTTTTTACATAGGGATTGCAAGTGCTATCCCATAAATAATCGATATCCAATCCCAATTCTACCAAGTTGTTGAATGACAATATATATAAATGTGGATGACACATTATTCCACAAATAATCAAAAGTTAACATATACTTGCAATCATTGGATAATATTTCTTTAAATCAATGCAATGATTTATAAAAAAACAATACAAATCATTGTTGAACGAAGATATTATTTTCTCCCATCTTCCATTTAATTCAACCACCTTATGATGTCTCTAACAAATCTAGATTTTTCTTTTTAATTTTAGCATTATTCTATGTATTCTCATAACCTTACGTAGTTAGAACAATGTTGGGCTGCCGAGAGGGTTTGACACCCTTCCTGACAGACCCCTCACAATAGGGGGGAAGGGGGATTTTTTTTCTTTTTTAATTCATATGGGTCCCTCATGGGTCGCACCACATATATGAGAGGATGTCAATCAAAGCGTCAAATTTATTCTGACAAAATGACATTTTCCATGTTGTTAAACAATATGAAAATCCCACAGCTTTGCAAATGGCAAGTAATTACACTTTGATTGTACTTTCACATTGGAGGTGACCTAAAATAATAGAAGTTATGATGTTATGATAGTAACTAAGTGTATGTTTGCGAGTTTTTTTCTTGTCTTGTTCTATAACTTTCTTTAATTTCAATTAAATAATAAAGGCTTTTTCATAGAAAGACTTTAGTGGTAAGTCAACACCTTAAAAAAATTATTTATAAGTTTACATGAAAGTAAACAAGTGAGATATATATTAAAAAATTGCCGGATTGATAATTTTACCTTACCGTTTAAATAAGTGATTATAAAAGTTTCATATTCAAACATGTTTGACTGCAAAATATTTACTCAAAATTATGTTTGACTTACTTTTAAATTTAACCAAGCGCGTCCTAAGTTAATCGAAATCGTTCATTCATCACTATTACTTATCTAAATTTCATAGTAATTATTCTAGGTCACACTGCAAGAAAAACGAACATCCAAATTCTTATCCTTGATAGCTTGGTAAATAATTAATTAAAAGCAATGCAAAAAAATCTGTATAGTGTCTTGCCAAGTTTTGGACCTACCAGGTCAACATTTTTTCTTACTAGAATGTAGTGGATGAAACTTAGTTAATGATCGTTTGATTTCCCGCAAGTGAACGGGATCGTGAACAAGTAATATTGTACTGTGTAAAGTGTCGAACCCACGAGAACTACGTATTCAATCGAGTTCAAGTTAATAGTAACCTTAATCGAATAGCAAATAGATTGAGTTTTCTATACTAATATCTAAATTATCGATTAAATTAGAAAGCAATTTAATTGGTTTGAATTCAAATATGTGAGATGCATTGCTAAGATATCGAATCTTTCTTATTATTCAATTTTTAATGTAATAATTAAAGTGACAATTTGAAATCATTCATGTTGGTCAATGTTCCTAATTTAATCGAAAGCCTCTCTCGATAACGATCAAATATATTCCCCTCATGTAACCATTCTATCTCTCAATGAAATATGCAAACATGATAAATGCATTGACAAGCACTAGAACACCTATTGAAACCATATAAAGTATAGGGGTATATCTCTATCATCTATCGAACTTTATAATGTTTATTATAATGTGCTTCAACCCTATTGTCTCTCGATAATAATAAAATTTACTAACAATTCAATTGGTGATTAAGCAATTGAAAAAAACGATAATAAACATCTACAAATCAAATCAAATTAAAGTCAAAATAATTAATTAAAAACTAAAAATATCATAACAAGAGTTCATCTCATCCTAACAATATATAAAAGTAGTCTAACATATTGAAATTACAGGAAATCATATTTAAGTGAAAAGACATAACCCGAATTTTTGATAAATTGAGAAGATGAAGATGAATCTTGAATCTCTTCAATGGTTTCTTGATTAATCTCCACTCGCATCTTCTCTTATTTGCCCAAAAATTAGGTTTGAACCTTCACTCGATTGAATTCTTGCAAATTTTCTTCAATTCTTTCACAAAAATTATGAATTCTCCTCCTTTGATGATAATAATTGATAAATAATAGAGTATAATATGTACATGAGAGTTCTCCAATATGTATTCTTCTATTATGTATTTGTAGGAATCGA